TTAGGGTTTGCTGTTAAGGAACTTAACTTGTGGGTTTCCCAAAATCAGTACCATTTTGTGGGTACCTATGTTAGGTGGACCACCCCGCCCAGTAACAGTGATTATAAAGGGTAATAAGGCTTATTTTAGGGTCCTCTTATATTACAAGTATACCACCATTTCCGGGTGGGGTGTCCACCTCATCTATATGAACGATGATAGGATATTGGGGTCTATATTGGGGGTCTCCCTATTTTTGGAAAGTATCATTTAAGACACTATAATCAGAGAACTATATTTCCTATGCTATATACCCACAATATGGCAATTCAATTCAAATTCATTCACAGCGACCCAGGCTACTTGCCGAGGGAGAGCTTCTGGCATCCACAGCTTTCATTGTGGAGGCCTATGGAGATATCAGGCCTGGAGGAAAGGAAAGCTTTCCTTTGGGGGCTGGAAAAACACAAGGCGCTGACAGATGATTTTGGGTGTGAGAGCCGTGTCGGTGATCATGCAATCCCGGAGACGTGTTCAGGGTTCATCCTTCCGACTGAGGCAGGGAAGATTGCTCTTCAACCTCCCACAGGATGCAAGACATGAATCCCCTAACCCACTGCCGTTTTTCCACCAACATTCTAAGGTTATGTCCCTCGTAGAATTTTGGCAGGATGAGATCCCTGGTGGTTTCTGCCACGCTCCGCGCAAAGTCCTGGGGACACCTTCGCCAACTTCACCCAGGCTGCTGGGGCTGAGAAGAGCTCACCAAGACAACAACCGGACTCAAGGATAACGTTCTAAGGCTTGTTGTAGGTACGAAGCACATGCAATCTAGTTAGTTCACCGTTTGTTGGACTGGGGCCTGGGGGGTCGGATCTTATTCCCAAACAGAACGGGTCCCAACTCATGAACACCCCTAGCCAAAACCAAACCCTTAACCTCGGCTCTTACCTTTGCTCCTTCAGAACTCATGGCAAGGCTTTGCTGCAGCCATGTCCAAGCCTGCCTCCGTATCTTGGGCCAAGCCCAATCCACAGGGTGGGGCTCCAGGGTTTGGGCGTTTGTGGCTCAGGGTACTGGGGCTTGAGGTTTCACATGTCAATGAAATGAAGCGGAAGTTACAATAGCAGCAGAGGCAATTCTGATAAGAGTCCTATTAGCGCTAGCAGCATTAGTAACAGGAGTATTTGGAGTACGCGTATTGCTAGTACTACCACCACCATGGCTGAGAAGCGGAGTCTACTACCAGAATTTCGGGTAAGGAGGAGTCTGATCAGCAGCCGACAAGTGCGAAAACAAGAACGACCAGACTGCATACATATCTACCTGTGTAAATACGCATGTATACTACATGCACACATTCACACATATATACACAAATACTTATATGCATGTATACATACAGTGTATACATATATAGATGCACACATATACATATATGATCATATATGCATCTATCTGTGTACATATATTGGTCTAGATATATGTGTACATGTCCTGGTTGCTAGCTAACACATGTTCAGGGCTAGTCAGCTCATCAGCGGCGTCCACAAGTGCTTCTATATCCATCTATCTACACATATGCAGGAGAGCTCGCAAAGCCGATTGGGCCCCTTCGTATTGCTGGTCTTGAATTTCATTGTGGCTGGACATGCGCGGATTTTCTGGTACCTGGGCTGCTTCTGGGAAAGGACCAGGATCGAGGTGGCAGAGCATAGAATTCGGGAACTCAGGGAACCACAGCAGACAGGGAAGGCTGGAGATCACGAGCTTATATCAGGGGATTCCGCCGTTGATTCTCAGGACTAAGCATTCTTTCCGTGTCTAGGCTTGACTGCCTCAGCGTTCAACTATTGAATATGGGTGTCATAATAAGGTAGTATCCGTCTCTCGTCCTTGAATGTTTTCTTCTGAGGTCTAAACTTCATGATTGCGGGTTTCTATCTGCAAGCCCCTAAGGGAACCTCGACCCCAAACAAGACAACATTGGCTTCTGGCAGTTTTTCCTTTAAGTGTCAAGACCTGGGTAGCCGCCTGGAATTTCTTGTTGACTGAGGAAAAACGCGTACCAAGCAGCTTCAGGCGGATGGAACCTGGATTCAGCATTCCAAGTATGTTCTTATTTAGGTTCTTTCACAGCCCTAAGAACTGGTGAAGATTGTTTGTTAAAGTCCGTGTGTTTGCAGGACTAGGCAAGCAACATGTCAGCCGTTCTGCTGTGAGGTGGCTTGATTTGGAAGAGGACATCCCTAGCCCTAACCCCCTCAATCTTCAAGCCTGCAAGCCCTACAGCTTTTTCTTAGCAGGGACTAAAATAATCCCTTCATAACGCCCTACATCTACCAGTGGTCTTGAGGTATCCTTGTTTTGTAGAGCTCCTCTGACCAGCAACAGAACTATTGCTATTAAGATTCTCCATTCCTTGCAGCACAACCACAACTATTACCGTTTCTGTTACTGCTTTTCTTACAAAGCCCTGAACCGTAAATCTAATCAGCTCCTAGTGTAAGACCTGGAAAAGGAAGGTTTGGCGGGATGGCCTGCCAAACCTTTCGGCATGGCCATGTAGCTCAGATGCACCTTCTTGGTCTTGTCAAGGGGGTATAGGTTAGGTGGACACCCCACCCAGTAATAGTGACTATAGGGGATAATAGGGATTATAGTAGGGTCCTCTTCTATTCCTATTATACCACTATTACAGGGTGGGGGGTCCTCCTAAGGTATAGGGCCATTGCAAGGATCCATGGAGTTCAGAGAAGAGAGTGCCGACCAGGAACCCCGAATCCCCTTCGGGTCCCTATACATCCCTAGGGTGGCCCTCATGTTTGGAAACTCCCGTGTTTTGCAGCATTGTGGATACTGTTGCTGTTGGGACGCTTCATGGCCATGACGCAGGAGTTACAGGTGCATGTACGGGTGCGCAGTGATTAGATAGAGACTAGGCACGGCATAAGGTACAGTATAGAGTTCCTCAACATTATAGTCACATTTTAGGCATCCTACTTGCAAAGCTGGCGATCCAGAATCCTTATCAGACTTACCAAAAGTATGCTCTAACACTCCTTACATGATTACACTCCACTTCAAAGCTCTTTCCGAATTAGCTTTTGCTGTGACAGTACACTCTCCGATCCCTATCAACCCCTCTATAAACCTAGTTTCCATGTATGTCCATGTCCTTTTCCATTTGATTCAGCACGACATTTACATTCTAAATGCCAAATGGCCAAATCCTAAACCCGGAATCCCATTATGTTCCTAGCCGTAGGGTAAGTAGCATCCCATTCACGGAAAAAACGGGAAGGTGAATGGAAACTGAATTGGAAATGGTGTATCTTCTCGGCAGTCCGTAGATACTCAACAAGCTAGGGTTTTCTGAGGTCCCAGCATAGTGTGGTTCCGAATAGGGTACCCAAAGAAAGATCACAACCTCCCAGACAAGTTTCGGCCGCTGAACTCGTGAGGGAAGCATGCTAAGCTTGTGCTGGCTAGGCAAAGCAAGAACCCTCCCAAACATACCCCAGGTCGGACAAGATCCGGACATGAGACATGATGGGTTAAAAAGTATTCATGCTGAGACGTACTTTTCCCGTTGCCTAAGGCCTTGCCAAATAAGCCTTGAGCAAGCACGCCGTGTCAACATGCTACAAATCCACAACCTCTTGAAACCAGTCAACCTAAGCCGCCCAGGAAATGTCCACAAGATTTCCGTGAAGCCCTGCAAAAGGCGATGAGCAGTCAATTTCTCAGGTGCTGCCGAGACATGTGAACATGTAGAATGGGGGGGGTCAGGCAGGGCTTTATAGTGCTCATCGTTCTTTGTTCACATTTTTGGGGATAGCATGTATAGATAACGCCTGGAGGGGCGGGACCAGGCTTGCACAAGGAATTGTTGGCTTTGGCACCGAACTTTTTTCTCTGCGCACCTGACAAGGATCATTTGAGACCGTATGAGGCTTCCTTGACTTGTGTTTGACGAAACCTTGGCATAACAAAGCATCACCCACGTCCCCTGAGGCCCTAGGGACCAAGAAAAGAGGCGGAAGAACATATTGAAGCGGTTCAGATGTAAAGAAATCGTTTCGAGATCCATTGTCGAGATCCATTGGCTGGCTGCTGTTGATATGGTGGTTTTGGCTGGCCAGAGAACACAATGCCAAAGGCGCGCCGCCGTCGATCAAGTGCATCGGGAATGCGGTGACATCCAACAACCAGGACACTCAGCTGCGCTTGACCCTTGAGATGCGATTTGTCCTCCCCTAGTCCCCCAACAATCCTTGCAAAGCCATAGTACAAGACGTCCCCAAACCCCATTGTTAAACTTTTCTAAAGACTTAACATTTTACGTTACTCATTGGATTTAGATCACACATTGACATTCTGACTACTCCCAATATGAGAGCAACAAGAGCCACCCCTCAACTTTTTTCCACAAACCCCGACGAAAGTCCATGAGTATATATCTGTATATTTGCCCAACAAACCCATTCACCCTTTGGTATTGAAAGCTGGCCCTGCAAGGCTCCTCTGGTGACGGGAGAAGACGCCCACGGTGTTGCCAGACGCTGGATGACAATGGGCTTTGGGTCTGACACTCTAACCCCACACTGGTAAGGGTCCAAGATATGCAATCTCAAGTTGCAAACCCCAATTGCCATACAAGTACGGATGCAGATCAATTTAGGAGAACCATGTGGCCTGCCATGTCCAGGGTTCATGTCCAATAGAATGCACCACTTTAAGACCAAATCAGTTTGCTTCATTACATCTACCTCGGTTCAAGCTTTGAACCGCAAATTTTACCAACCGTTGGAATTGGGCTTTAAGTTCCTCTTGAGTTTTCGGTTCAGAGGTGGATTTCCGAAACAATGTTGGCCTGGGCAGGGAAAATGAGAAAACTTGCGTTCAAGCTAGGGAGGACCCGGGGACAACAGAAAGCTTCATGAACAGTCTACAGTTACCTTTCATCTGAAACACTGGCTTGCCGTTGGCTGCGCGCATTGCTACTGTAGCTCTTCCTTGAAGAAGCTCAAACGCTGAAGCCGTCCACCCTTGCACCTCCGAGCTTGCAGGTGAGTCCTTGAGCATCCGGAAAATACCCAGGAAATCTACCGTAGATCCAGTCCCGAGTGGTGGGGGTCTATGTTTTGGACTCGACAAATCTTAATAAAGACCTTCAAGGGCGATGATTTTGGGCTCCTTACTAGCCTGGGTATCCAGGAAGCCGTTCGCTGAAGCTCTGAAACGGCTCTCCGAGTTGTTGCCAGATGCTCCTGCCTTCCAGGCATATTGGTGTTTGCTGGTTTGGTTCCAATCTGCATTTTGTGCTATACACAATTACCCCAAGAAGGGACCAGCACTTTCTCACCTCGGGCAATCTGAGCATTCTCGAAAGGAGGGTTCTTCCTTGTGATGCCTGGAGTGGTGATCAGGCGTGACGAGGATAGACCTGGCCATGTGAGCCTTCATCTGAGTTTACATGTTTGAGGAAGCACTAAGAGGACTGCAAGCAAGGGGGCCCCATGTCAGGAACTGGTAAACAAGGGGACGAAGAGAGGCTGTAAGGAGTCGGTAGTTTTGGGTCCATCTTGCTTCAAGCCCCTTAGCTAGTTTTTAACATTTGTCTGAGCACATTGCGGGTGCGACGGCTGCTGCTCGAGTAGCGTGTGCCCCCTTTTTACCAGGAACCCTGGTGCTTCTTCTGGCCATTTAGCATACCAAAGGCCAGGCAGTCCAACCACTTCAAACCCTTGCCATGAGCCCCTTAGATGTTGGGGGGCTGGGGTAGAGTTGAAACTCCAGATAGCATGATTCTTGGAGTCCTCATAGGCTCATTTTGATACAAGTATGTCTCAGCGGGGATCCCTTGCATGGTTCCTTCCTCAATATGAGCCGCTAGCAAGCAGTACCTACGCAGGCTCACGCAAGACAGAAGTTCAATTTCCTCCACGCAACTAACACGGAACCACCCCCTTTGAAGGGCAGCAAATTTCGAGAGCCGTTGCTGGCATTCCGTGTGAGTTTAAATAAGGTGATTGGCATCTCACATAGCATTGCAGCGCATTCCCTATGCCCGTCCAGGCATATGCATAACAATTCACCACGGCTAGGATATGTCAATCCCCAGAACTTTTCTTTCAGTTTTTCTTGCTTGCTCATCCTGCAGCTTGTATCAAACATGTAGTTAACTGATCTTGCAGATGACTGATACTTAGCGCAAGCTGCGCCCTATGGTGAGGCTGCTCTTTCCAGGCTGGGCGAGCTTGCTGACCCCGACAGTCCCTGGGTCAGCACTCTTCTACTCCTCTCTCCCTAATATTCAACTCCCCCACCCCCTTAACACATTAAATTTTCCCAATATATTATAATATACCGCAATGGGGAGTGTTTAATATTAAGTTAGGTGGCAGGGGTTTCATAATAGGGGGAGAGGATTATTTGCTTTTTCCAAACAGATCTTCTGTGCAAGACGTTGCGTCCGTAAATGGCTTCCATCAGACGTTCCTGACATGAGGTGTATATTCCCCAAGCCACTCTTTCAAGCTATGCGCTACAAGCTAGCACCATGCTCGGCCACCGGGACAAGGCTGAGTACTTGAGTAGTCCCTCAATAGTCCTTGCAGTAAGTGGGAGGGAACTGAACTCCAATTTCTCTTTCCTGGACTTGTGGATTTCTGCTTCATGTCTTCGGATCCCTACAAAGGTCTACAAATTTGCTATGATCAGCATTGTGCCTCCGAACGCTAATGAGTCCTACAACTTATGTAAGTAAAGTTGAACAGTAGAGGCCTTACATGCCCTCGACCCACCCCTCAAGCCCTGCAGCAAACACCGCTTTTCAGGGGCCCAGGATCAAAAAGGGTTCAGCAAAGCGATTTTGCTTAGATTACCACAGCAATGCTTTCGAAGCATGATCGCCAACTGTGGGCCCGCACAACGTCTCACCTGCAAACAAGTTACTGCTATAAGGCTAACATGCGGATACACCTGGAGAATCACACGGTTAGGTCTAAGCTACGACCTCCACTGCCTGAGCGAGTATGCCATGAACCAGTTCGAGATGGATGAGGTCTTTGGCACAAACAAGGACGAGGTGAGGCTTCGCGTTCTTTAGTTAGGGGTTGGGAGTTTGGAGCGGCTGGGGGTTCAAGGTTGGCCGTGGGGTGCATGGGGCTTGAGGCATCATGGAATTCCAGAAACTGAGCAAAGTCTGAATTCTTCGCCCGATGCACTTGAGAAGACGCAGATGAGCCCAAAACCCAATCAAGGATTCCCATTGCACAGGTCATGTACGACTCCTGGGTCGCCAAGCAAGACGAAGCTAAGCGGGACTGTACTGCTCCTCCGCGTCCTGAAAAAATGCGCCGGAAGGGAGCCCAGGTTAACTTCATGCGTTCGGGGTCCGGGGTAGCAGGACATGAATTCGCAAAATGGTCAGGTTGACGGATGTAGCTAAGTACCAGGTGACACTTCCTCGATCTAGACACTTGGGGTTCTGCTAGTCCTGGGTTCCCGCAAGTGCTTGCGAACCTGAATATTCAGGCCTATACTTCGGGTCCATGTGGAACGTTGAATATCAAAGTCTACAGGGAGTGGAAATTCAGAAGAAGGCAACAAAGCAATCCCAGTCCCCCATCCTAAACCTGCCGCCTACACTGACCATTCAATTCGTATCATGGTGATTCAGCTTGCCGAACGTAGGATTAGGTATCAAATTGGAAGATCTAATCTTCAGATCCACTCAGCAGTCTGGAGGGGAGCGCTTCAAGATTTAGGCCCTTTTGCATTGTACCTGTACAGGCAGCCATTTGTGGCGGCGTCTTTCTGCAGATGTCGCCTTTCATGTGGCCGCCTGCTCAGGTTCTGGGGGACGACTGGCACTGGTCAGTCTAAGTGCGATCAGCATAATCGTCATGAATCAAAGTGAGAGCAAGTTGATAATAAGCACAACATTGGCAGTCGAACTTGGGAGCGCACAGGAGAATGGGTATGGGCAGGCTACAATGTTGTTCTCCATGCTCATCATTTCAAGTTGGGGTAGGAGCATGAGGTTGTCCTTCTTTGCAATCTTGACTGTCTTCGACCTACGGTACTGGTTTGGCTCTCGGGGTACAGGAAATGTTGCCAAAACAGCCCAAACTTAATCTGAGTGGGGCTGTGCCCTGGATCAAAAGCTTGCGAACTCACACTTTGGGTATTTACTGTATCTCGGCTGCTGTGCCAGATTCAGCAGTAAGAACACAAAGGCCAGTTCATCATGTTGAGTTGACAATACCATTACGGCCAAGCCTCTGCTCCTTACAACGGCAGCTGACTCCAGCAAGCGTCAGTGTCAGCATTCATGTATGGACAAGGCTCACAACAAGTGGCCTCTTAACTCCAAAGCCCAGACCTTAAGACTTCGATAGCAAGCTCATCAGGCTAGAGCGACAAGTTTGGGTCCGAGTTCAAGCCCTTATGTGTATAAGCTATTTAGGCTAGCGCAGAGAACGGTAAAACGGCATCAGGCAGGCGATGCTTTTAACCCTAAACTCGGATGGCCCGCAAGCCTGAACCTGCCCAAATGCACTGAAACTCCGACTCCGGAATCCCATAGATGGACAAGTTGCAAGAACTCACCTCATACCTTTTGGCAATCAGTGAGGCCACGATTCAACGCCTACATGAATCCCAAGGGCCGTTGCTTCTCCTTTGACCAGGCAAGTTTGACCGGTTCCAAAAATCAACTCATGTGCTCCTTGAGCTCTTTGGTTGATAGCATGATCTCTCTTCACTGGACCTTAGGCAAGCTAGAGCTTTGCAAGCTGAATTCATGCATGGAAAAACTGCTGCTGCTCGTTGCGGCTGCACGGAGTAACTGCCCGGCGGACCATGATAGCTGAGCCGGCAGAATCATCGATTCATAGCTACGGAACCACCAGTACCTGGAGCTTCAGCATGGGAAGCACACCCTTTGCATGTCATATGAGTGCATATTTGTAGCGCTTTCCAGATGTCGCCAACATGCAGTGCTGCATCGCGGCCTTCGTCCACAGAAAACGGAAACGTTTGCTCCCAAGGGTTCTAGCACATGAAGTTTCCACAAACCCGAAAAGAACCCAAAACTTGAACACTTTTATTCTTTTTGCAAGCCACTATCAAAGCTCGATCCTAACCCTGAAAAGTTGTACCCTGGGATTCTGGACCGTTGGCACACACGCTTTCTTGCTAGCACTTTGGAATCCAGGTGCTTGTCTGAGGTTTTGTCTGAACACGAGGACACCCGTCGGACATGCTTGAAGAACAAATACCTACAACTGGCCATCACCCCTTGCTAACATCGGGCATTTGGGTAGCCGATCCATCCCATACTGAAGTGGAGGCTGCTAACGGCTATGTGCGCGGTGAGTGCTGTGCAAGCGCTGGGCGCCCGGTATCAGTGTTGGAATTGTGGTTATTTTGAGTGCTGGCTTGAGGCGGCTATGGTTTTTGGAACGCAGCTCGGATATGTCTAGAGAAACTGTGTCCGAACAATTCTTGGCTTTATGTTAAGGGCTTGAGTTGTCTTAAAAGGAGCGCTGACCCTGCAATCTCTGTGTGTCGTGTCCATGCTTTCTGTCAAGTTGCGCACATGACACGCACCGCCACTCCAGAGTGAACCCCTCTCCTCGTTTCAGGCAAGCTACTGTAGGCACACCTCGTCAACGACTCGAAGCCCCGTCATCGGCCTCTACTTTTTACAAACGGGCCGCACGGATTCTTTTAGGAAGAGGAAATTGGATGAACTGCCCCATCCAGGACAAAAGTACCTGCAATTTGCCTCCATCGTTACTACTTGTACCCATTGAGGTCATGTGCCAACATCATCGTTTTACTTGGGAACCTCATTAGCATATCCAAGAAGACTGCCAGGCTTTGACATGTACCTTCGAGCTTCCGTGCCAGGCCGCTTTGAAGCCTTACGCTGAGAAAGTGGACAATCAGCTGATCATCGCAGATGGGCCTTGTCTAGGCTGGGGGGCAAGCAACAGAAGGCTTTGCGTTTGGCCTTCAGCCTTGTAGTTAAGGATTTTCTGACAAAATCATCAAACACCCAGAAGCTTTTAGATACATATCAGTTGGGACTCGAGCCCAGTTCCCCAGCAGGCACCCTTGTCGGCTGGCGCATGACGCACCTTGCCTGCAGCCAGTAATGAGTAATGGCTTCGCAGCTTTGAGCTTGGGGAGCCAAGCATAACTTAGGAAGTATATGAAGTTGTGCGAGTACTTCGTAAGCAGCCTTCAAGCAAGCTCCCATTGTGCATATTGTTTCCGGCACAATGCCCAACAGCTGTATAAATTGCGTCCAAAAAGTCTAGTATTTTCAACATGGGCATCGGAACCTTCAGCTTGCTCACCGTAAGTCATCTCCCTGCGACTCGGCAGGGGAAAGTACAGGTATATCCATGCCTTCATGCCCTAGCAACAACGCAAGAGCGTTTGTTCATATTATTCTCAGTTTAGCCTTCCAAGTTTTAATTATGCTGCAGGTATCTCTGCCTGAAAGCTCCGAACCCTGATATTGGCTGCAGGCTGTTCTATCTCAGCTTTGCCGGCAGCTATAGGGGCTCCACAGCCTGAACGCACATAGCTTCCCAACGATTCTCGGAGCCATGTACTACACCTTCCTTGGATACCTAAACACCTGAAGCCCCAATCTCTATAACCTCACATGCTCTGATGCCGAAGAAGTACTGTAAACGCTTCCTTGACTGCAAATCATGTTGCTGCCGAGGAACTTAAAACAAGTGAGGATTCTGAAGAAGCCCAGCCATTTTCTTGTATATCCATAATATCATATCTCAGTTTGGGTTCCGTAAGAGCCCGGCTTCAAGGGTATATACCACCAAATCGAGGACAAGAACCTTAACCCCCAAACCTTTGACCTCTAAACCTTGATTCTCTAAACCCTAAACCCCACATCCCAAATTGCTTAGACCCCTCAACCGTAAGCCCCGAAACCAGGGGTCCACATATTAAGGATTATCGTATTTTGGTCTCTATACTGGGTTCCCCCTGTTTTTGGAACCCCCCCTTGCAAGTACTATAAGATGCTACAGTACACAAAGAAATCAGAAATCTAAGGGTTTAGGTGGTTTAGGGGGTTTGGGGTCTACCCCAATAAACAATGTAACCCCCACATACAATGTAACCCCAATATACAATGTAACCCCAATATACAATGTAACCCCAATATGCAATGTAACCTCAATATAAAATCTAACCTCAATATACAAAGTAACCCCCAGATACAATGTCACCCCAATTTTCAATGTAACCCCAATATACACTGTAACCCCAATATACGACGTAACTCCAATATACAATGTAACCCCAATATACAATGTAACCCCCAGATACAATGTAACCCCAATATACAATCTGACCCCAATATAGGTCCTATTATTTTGAAAAGAGGAACAACGGCCGCAGCGCGGGCCTTGCCGCACCAAGCGGCCCTGCGGAGCAGGAGGTCGGGATTTCAGATCTGGGGGTTCCACAAAGTGTCTCTGAAGAGGTTATAGGGGATAAATGAATAATATTTCATTTGGGGATATTAGGGTACCCACTATAGAGTAAGATTATATCCTCCTTTTGGGGCTTAGTATCTTCTATAAGGAATATGATCTTACTAGGTTTTACCGCCAAAAAACACTACTCAAATGGGGGGCTTGTATAATTATTGTATATGGTACCTCAAATGAACCTTAAACTGATATTGGTATTTATTTAGGCCCCTGTAGTACCACGACTACTAGAGGCATCCACTGCTTCATTCCTTGCTAACCAGTTGAGAGTTTAAAGAGGCCATGGGCGATATACATTGGGGTATGTGGTGCTCAGCGTTTCCAAAAATGAGGTCATCCCTTTAAAGGGGTTGCACGGGCATATAGTCACATAGCTTTCGAATTTACAATCGTACATAGGGATAAGTATCCTTGAGGGCTGTCAAAGACCAGGGACTCCCTTCAAAGCGTAAAGTTTGCGGAATATCTATACATATATGTATGATTGAGAGTTTTCAAAAATTAGTGTGTCCCTTTTCGTGTGGGATCGTAGATAAGGAATACAGCATTTTCGTGTATATGAGGAAGATTCCTTTTTGAGGAAAATCCTCATTTCACACCTCAGAGGGTTATTTCTTGCTGCTGTTATGTCAGTTTTTTGCTAGTGCAAGTGCAGCCTATACACTTTTGTAACCCGCAAGCTTGTTATGGAGCCCTTTTGTTCAGCTTGGCTACGCCATCCAGCAGGCCATTGCTGACTGCGTAAAGCATGCCGGAATCTCGCCATTGGATGTCGACGCCATGGAGTCCACCCCGACAACGCTTTCAGGGGTATCTGTTGAGTGGGACTGAATTTCTTCATGGGGCTGACTGTAAGCCTGTGAGTTCAGAGTGTGTATAGAGGTGCATACTACTTGGAGGTGCAGCGGCATCTCAATAGGTTTCCTGGAGGCAGCATGGCAATTGAATGGATTATTTGTAGTCTGGGAGATGGTTTAGGAGTCACCGATGAAGACCAGCAGGGTTTGGAGCAGCTTCCAGGGAATGATCTCAGCTTTTTTGTAAGTTTTCTCAGGGTTCACATCAGGGTCTCGGTTGCCAAGACAACAGGTTATACCAAGTGATGCCTAAGCCTTTAAGATGGGCTGAAGAGGAAGTGGAAGTCCGCAAGGCTTTATTGATGCAGCTGAGGTGCCGATCATTTTTAGAGGTTTCGTTTACATCCAAAGGCCTACACTCGCAAAGACGTATCGTCTACCACATGTCCCTGTATGTTACAAAAAAGGAAACTTCAATCTTTTGTTAACTGGGGCAGGCCAAGATTGCCCCAACCTAGGAGCTGGCCTCTAGGACAAACATGATTCTGCACAAGAGCCGCGCAGAGCGACTTTTGAGATGAGATGCCTCACATCTAAGGGGGCTATTACACCAATAATGCAGGATCAAATGGAAAATGAAATGGAAACTGGGGATATATCAGTGGTTTATAGGGCTGAACTGGAAACACGCAACACACCCAAAATCCCCCAACGAAGTGGAGTTTCCTAAAACTGCCAGGTGCCATGCTGCCGGCTCCTTGCTCTCTGATGGCGTAGAGGCTGAAACAGAATGTGTGGAGCATGAGTCGTTTTTCCAGATAAGGCTAGGTTTGTGCCCATTAATACTCGGTATTATACCATGAGCAAAGCCAAGCCCACGATTTGATAATGCCCGTGCATATAGCTGTCGGAGCAGGCGGCCTCGTTGGCTAGCATGTCAGTCAGTCAAGCAAAGCAGTCGACTTTTCACCAGTTGGCAAATATCAGCGGCATGACCCGCTTGCGTGCAGAATGAAGGGTGTAAGCTGAAATCACAGGTAGAAGTTCTGCAGAAAGGAACCCGTACCAAAGATTCCAATAATTTTTCAGTGAAACTACCTCTGACATGACAACACTGCACTGGCTTCTAGCTCCAAAAGTATACGCGTGAGTACTTGGATCGCGTGGCATTTCTCAAACCAGCCATGAAGATTGTCGAAGATCTCTGCCTCGGCCGTCATAGTCCTCCTACGGTCACTATCACGAACGATTGCTACAACCATTAACTTTGATGATGACCACAACCAGGATCACAGCCATCAGCATGACCATTGACTGACTCTGATACTGTGACCACTGCTGCTACTTCTGCTCGTACGTACTGGCAGTCTTCCTGCTCCTACACCTGTACTGCCTGATACTGTTATTGCCCAGTGCTGCAACAGAATGCAACGTCTGCAGTGGCATGATGCGCAGGTTGCCTCCACAACCTCCGTTCTTCGGGGTCTGGAAGGCAAGGGAAGAGCAATGCATGAGTCCAGCCTGGTGATGCTAAGAGAGTGATACCGTTTCAAATCTACCTTTGCTCAAGACATGGCTCGAGTTAGTCAACATTCATGTAGACTTCCCTCAAATTCAGTGGAAACCCCTATCATCCTGCGCTCTCTTATCCACTTGAGCTGCTGTATTTAAAAGGTCTGTTCCATACAGCTTCAGACCGTCACAAGCTTGGCATGTAGATCAACAGGTGATGCAAGACGATCTTGTAGCATGAAGCTTTGCATGTGTAGGTGGAAAGGGATCCCTGCTTCAGGCGGCGACCTGGAAATGCTGACCCTAGGTTCTGTCAAGACCAATGCTCCGAACTCAGAAGTCAAACGCCTGAAAAAATGATTTGCGCAACTACTCAAAGTAGGCCTACATAAGGATAGCACAGCAGGACCTACTCCAGCGCATCTTTGCGCATGGGGGTCGCACATGATTCACAGGAGTTTTTGCCGCATACCCGGGACATGAAGTAGAGAGATGAGGATTCCGTGGCTACCGGGTTGTAGCAACAACGCGACCATCTCATTCTGGCATCCTTCCTTTTTTTTTTTCTGAGGCTTTTGTTGAGAGCGTCGGGGAGGGAATATAAACACGAATACAGGGATTATTGTAAGCATGCACTCCCCACTCCCTTGAAGACTATCCCTTATTGATTTGGCCCCGGCAGCTTCGAATGAGCCAGCATGCCGGCTGTGCCTGAAATTCAAGGGTGCTTATTTCGTAGCTTGGAACAGAAGGAGATGCAAAAGCCCATCACCTTCAAAATCCTGATGAACGTCTGCAGTAAATTCATAACAGTCCTCCTTGTTTTTTTGCAGACTTCTTTCATTCCATTGTGTTTCAGAAGTTCTGGCAGGTTTGGGCACAGGCATATAATGCTTCCAAGAGCCATGCTCGAAGCTGCCACTAACACTTCTGGAGATGAAGAAGTTGGAGTCTCAGCGGAACCCACCGCAACAGACACAAAAAGCAAGCATTGTTGTACCGCTCCTCTGTCGACAACCTAGTTGGCCCGGAGCCTGCACTTCTTTTGACCCAAGAATTTCCGGGTTGTTCGCAGGAAATACAGGTACATATAGGGATTAGATAGGGATTATATTCCCTGCTAACCACCAGTAAGAGAAACAAAAAGATCAGCCAAAAATAAACGGGAGCTTCTTGATTAACAGGAACCCCTCCCAACCTCTTCGCGCCGCCCCCTGGGCTTCCAAGAGGAAAATTCAATCCTAATATAGACCCTACTATGATATAGTAGTTTCCATTTTCTTTTCCCTCATCTCAATATTAACTCCAATATAACCCTAAACTCATTTACAAAAGGTATACATCAATGTATTTTTGTTTGTTCACCTCTGGAGTTTGGGAGCCTTACCCCCACACTTCAGGTGGCTGTCCAGCAGGAGGCTTGCGCCATGACTGCCTTCCTCAAGGCTGGCCTCCGCACAGTAAAAACTACAGTATATTGGGCTCGCAAAGGGAACCCCTGTTTTTTGGAATCTTGGAGTTCCGAACAGTGTAGTCTTTGGGTGGAGATTTGTCTAGGTAAGCCGAAGCACTTTGGCGCCCAGTTGAGTGTGACGCATGCCGCATTGCAACCTGCAAGAAGTCTTAGCGCCACAACAGTATCTGTTCTCCATTCCAAACGTGATAATGTTTCATACCTGTCCCCCCTGTATAGCAACCTTTGCACTTTCGCAGCCTTGTCCGGATGCCATACTTTTACATGGAAGCTGCCTTGCAAGGTGCTCTACAATATCAGCTACGCGAACCAGGCAAACAACAGCCGAAGCTGGCGTTTCCCCCACAGGTCTTTATACAGTCTTTCGGGTACTTGATGGGTGTCCCAGATATGAGGTTCTTTTTTGTTTGAGACCTTCACGTATGTATCATGACACTCCGCAGCCTAAAGTTTCTAAGGCAGGCTGAGAGACATCCTGCAACGACACACGATCCGATGGCTTTTCAGATTAAGCGTTCAAGGCATGTGGGAGACCATGGTCCCTACGGCCTTTCGTCTGCCGGGAACAGGCTTCAAAATCAGTACTGGTATCTCTAGAGGGTGTACAAGCTGAGTACTACTCTAAGTTGGGGTAGCATAGTCCGCCAGGTTAACCTGATAGGGTCCTTTTGGTTATAGTATGAAGAACCCCATGGCTGAACTTCACGTGGCATGTGCACTCGTCCAAAGAAGCCTTTGAAGAATGCCCAAGTGAAGCCACGAGCAATGAATCACAGCTTCTCAGTCCGGCGGATTGCTTAGCGACGCGTTTCGCCCATGTAGAATCAGGCTTCCGCTTTGAAGCAAATTGCTGCGAATGTATCATGACATACATGAGTTGAAGCTCTCAAGAGCATCTGACCCATGACATGCACTGCGACCTCAGACTGCAGTGTTGTTTTTTCACGTGTTTTTCTCACGGTTTTTCATTTGAAAGATCAAGAACATTCATAGAACTCGCATACTCTTAACGTATTACTCACAAATGTGATGTTGTTTGTTCATCATTGCTTCTGCTGTTCCTGACGCAATCCCGGTATCCTCCATACCAAAACTTTTCCCACAGGCTCCAACTGTGCACCTGAAGCAGCTGAACCCGCACATTGAGCTTTGAGCTTGGCGGAAGCGATGCCATGAAATTCTACTTGACAAACCATAAGAAGCTGAAGAGTAATAGTACATCACATAGTAGACCGTTTGGCGAGTGATAGCTGTAGGAGAGAAACCTTACTGGTGATCTCTATCCTCGGGGAAATTTTGGCATGCATTGGAGACGTTCTAGGGCTCCCGGAAGACTTATCCACAAAGGGGCCCAGAGGAGCAATAGCTTGTGGAGCACGATTCACAGCACAACGAGTTGCGAAGCAATGACATGGGGGATGAAGGAAAAAGCTGGGGATTATAGTAAGATTGCAATCCCCGCCCGTCCTGCTTCTATGAGGTCCCTTAAGCCTCCGGTACATGCCTTGCTCATACGATCCTGGGCTTGTCATGTTACAACTGGGAATTGGAAGCTGGGTATTGCTTCCTATGTGTCGCCAGTTGTTACCTCATCAGCCCAAGAGCACGCTATCAACGTATGCTCATATTCTGGAAACATGTTCACATACATTGTTGAGCCGCCCCATCCATGTCAACGTGCTCGGCCAGAAAGAACGGTGCACTTGCACAAGCAAGTACATGGAAAGGCCAGGGCCCCCATGTATACCTGCAGGATCCTTCAGTCTATATTTCGGAGACGCCAACAGCACACGGATAGTCTTCGCAGAATCCTAGGTGCATAATTGCAGGTTGTCATCCAACAAGTTCTTAAGCGTAATTAATCACAAACGATTTTAAAGACAAAGGAAAACGGTTATCGTGTCATTTGATGAGCATTCCTTGGCTGGCTTGTTTCACAAAAACGAAGAGTGAGGATCGGCGAGTCTGCTGTGAACTTCAACACCGAGGCGCCAGGAAGCAGCAACTTGCATAGGTATCTAGAAAGACCTGGATATCCTTTGGGGTCC